TTGCGCTTTAGTGTTTTAGGCCATGTGAGCCATCCTATTCCTTCAGATCTGTGTTACAAACATCTGAGATTTCATTATCCCCTCTGATAATGAAAATAACAACTTAATTTCTTGGCCTTGCACTGGGTCTGTCATGTACGCATATATGGAAATACTGGGGATAGACACACTACTTCTCTACAGTTTTTCATATGTTGCATCACTAGGAAAATGTACACCAGGCTGCCTCATACAAGTCATACTTACTTTGTAGCTTAGGAATCCTTCCATAATTTTTGGCTCCCTGTGATTTTCTTCCAAGTGTTTTTCTACTCACAGCATATCCTATATGCTATTCTACTTACAGCATATCCCATAAGTTAAGCTGCAAAGAGTGTGTGTTTTAAGAGCCAGAAAGTTAAAAAGATTTAAAGCCCGATATGCTCTTATTCAAAAAGGTCACCAAAAAAAAAAAAGGTCACCAAGTTATGATCCTTAGTACAAGCACTAAACTTGATGATAATGATTTAACAATCCCCATGTAACAGTATTATTAGATAATCTAAGTGCAGGCATAGCTTACTTCAGCACTGGTCTAAACCCACTCTACTTTGTTTCTGTGTGGGCACTCTACGCTATTAACATCTTACTCTCCTACTGAGGGGTTTGTGTGTCCTGTTTAGTTTGACTGTTTGGAGGCTCTGATGGATATGGCTCATACTTGAAGCTTAGAAAATCACTGTTAGAATGATTAAAAATAAAGCCAAGAAAATAAAGATGTCAGTAAATGAATCTCTGATCGTATATTGGCCCTAGGTAATAAATTACAGTGTCAGGAACACATCTTCACATATACTATGCTCTCTATAGAATTTTCATTTCCAGAAATAGATCCTACCTCTATTCTCACCCCAGCCTGTGAATATCTGCAAAACATACCATCAGACTCAGAGGGGAATTCCAAAATGTTAGTTAGCACTCCACCTGCACTCTCAGCAGATGCTCACACTGAGGTTTTAATTATCAGATACATGCTTTCTCCACTACACTCCTTAGTCCAAAATTAACCTGTCGTTCTCTTTCCCTTTTATGACCTTTGGTTATTTGCTTCCTTCAACCTTCCCATTTGATCACTTACACATTTTAAAGACCTCAATGTAAGGCTCAAATGTAACCTACTAGTCCCCACAATACCCTCAGACATCACTTTCTGTTATATTACAAGTTCCTACAGGGTAGGCTCTGATCCATGTTTGTATTCTCCCTCCCTCTTGTTTAGTCTGGTGTTTATTTTACATGTGTAGATACTAATTATCTGCAGAATGAAACGAGTTAATAACCAAGTGAGTCTGGTTTATACATATAAAGTCTGCATTATCAGAGAGACTAGCAGCAGTTGTCTACCATCCAGCTCAGGACGGGACAGGATAAAGATCCACACTTGGCAGGTATAATCACTGCAGTAACATTTTGGAATATTAGCAATCATAAAAAAGGATGTACTGTGAGAAAAAGATTAAAGGTAGAGCATTTCAGCCATAGAAGAGGGACAGTGCAATACAATCAGGATTATAATTTAAGGATAAATCATAGAAGAAACCCAAAGGAGTACAGTTTCAAAGATACCACAAAAGAAAGTACATGGGGAAAACCTCTAATAGCAGAGCACTGACAATAAATAGACTGTTGTGATTCACAGGTTCCCGGTGAGCAAGTAAAATGTTAAGGATGAGCTGGACTAAAGCCAAGTTATAGGTAGAATGACAAAAGCTGTAAGCCTTTTCTTTCAAACAACTTGAGAGACAAAGGAGATAGAACCATAGCTCTAAGAAAATTGAGAAGCAGTTGTGAAATAAAATAACAGAGAGGATTGGGGAGACAGCTCAGTGGCATAAGTGCCTGCCTGGGAAGTGCAAGGTCCCGAGTTTGATCCCCAGTACCAAAAATAATCAGTATACAACAACAGAGAAAAAAGTGGCTTTGCTGACAAGGTATGGCACCAATATACAAATGTTACCAGTGTACCAGCAAAGTCACAATGGAGTGGAAAGAAGACTTTGGTGTTAATACAGTTATGCTGCTTAACTACAACATGATCTTGAAAAATAATTTTCTTCTCCTTTAGCTAACTCATCTGGTTAGTCTAAGAGTAGTAGTTAATAAACGGAAAAGGATCTTGGAAGAAGTTTGCACTTTCTATAAAGCATTACTAATGCAATAGACAGCTTGTGCTCTGGAGCAGATACATGTTTGTCATTTTACAGATGCCCTCATCAGTATAACAGAAAAAAAATAAAACTTCCTCCTGTCCAATATAATTCTAGCAAGAGAGATAAGACAATGACAAACAGACTGAGAAAAGTAGGACAGAGTGCAGTTTTGGAGTTAATGGTGACCCCTATAGACTGCGCCATTCTCTTCACTAGGAGATGTTAGTCAGGGCTCCCTCCTCAGTAGACAGAAATGCCCAGCTCTCTCCTGATAACTGTCAATCTGACCTGCCTTGCATGATCCTTTTGCTTTACCCTAAAGTTCCTGGACAGTGAAAGGTATGAACAAAATCATCACATACTTCATGTCTGTCAAAAAAAATTAAAAAATGAACAAAGATGAAATCTGTGTATCACTCCTTGGTTATATGGTTTTCGGGTTTTTCCCCCAAGGAACTGCTGCTTCAAGTTAAGGATTTTCCATTCAATCCATTTCCTGGGGACTTTTCACATCCAACAGGAGGCTGCTTGAGTAAGGTCATGGCAAAGGTCAAACATTTGTGGGATGGAAACAGTATGGAAGTATGTTTGTAACAGAAGCAACAGAACATACATCTGCAAGTCACAGATTCTACCAAAAGCATACAAAGAAAAACTAGAGAAAGTTCTTCAATTAAGCAGCTAAGAATGGTCTTCCTTCATAAAACAGAATTTACCCCATTCTGTGTAAAGAAATAGTGAAGTGAGATTTACATCGGTCAGTGATGCCAAAGTCATCCGCATTTGTCTGTATAAGATACTGTGGATGGTTTTACTAATTTTTAAAATATCATATCAACTGTATTATTGCTTACGGTAGTATTAAAATTAATTTGTATTCTAGCACCACTAGACAGACTCTCCAGACGACTCTCCTATAAAAAAAAAAAAGCCTAACAAAGAACTACAGAAACCCACAAGTAGAGTACTTTTAAAAGCTGAACGAAAGAAATAACAACTACACTGTTTCTTGACAATATTTACAAAATGACAGGAAAAAAGCATTATCAGTAGGTAAATAAAGCAGTGGCATTATGCCATACGAAGATGGGATAGGGTAAAAGTATGTGAGATTATACACCCAAGTTCACTGTTAAAAGTTGGCCTGCTCTGCTGAAACTAAGGAAAACCATTAGGGCAATTTTAAAACTGGGTACTCCTTACAAAGCAGGACAACATGACAAATGAAATACACAAGACATTCATTAATGCCTGGATACTTTTTATAAACATGCATATAAGTCAACAGCAAACTGCGGTGCAGAAGAATGAATGGCAAGCAAACCATGAACCTGTCTAGTACAGTATTAATCCAATCACCACTGACAATTCAACAAATATTTAGTATGCACCATGATTTCTTTATAGTTAAAAGTATAGTACACCTATAGTTAAAAGTATAGCTTACAAGAAAATGATTTAAAATGTATGACCTTGAACAAGACGTATACATGGATGACCAAAGAGTTTGTTATGGAGAAATAATAAGACTGCTAATAAAATCAAACATATATATACATAAGTATATATGTATGTATAAGCATATACATACATACATATACATAAAGGCACCCAGAGACAGACATTTAGATATAAAGATTGTTGATCCAAGTGAAACTGAATATATAAGCAAATATAAGCAGAATACATTCATATAATCCTATTTTTGCTAAAAACAAATATAAGCAATTTATTTTCTCTGATATGAGCTGATGACAATTTTACACATACGAGCCAAAGCCAAAACAACTCACTGATGATACTGCTATTTTGGAGTAAGATGAAAAAAACACAATGTGCAATTACTACCAAATGTAGATCAATAAGCAGGGATCTACTAAATAACAAACAAAATTTCATGAGAAACTTACTTATCTGGAAAGATAGTCCAGAAACATGAAGGGGAGTGAGTACTGATTTACAGCAAATGAATTATTTCAAGTATGGACACTGAGTAATTAAATTTAGCCAATTATCGCAACATATGGGATAGTTTCACGTACTGCGCCCAGAAATTTGTCGAAATGGGACTGTCATTTTTCGAGTCAATTCCTGTAGGGTCCATTTGCCACATGACTAGCGAATTTCAACCGTTACAGAGGAATGGAATGCTCTTGGCGCAGAGGGCTGCATTTTAAATAAATGAATGCATAAAACTGAAGCAGACAAATATACATGCTGACATAACGCAAATATCGGCTCTACACAAGGAGAGACAGATTAGCAGCCGGCATGCTCAGGGCCAGTGGTCTAGCCGCTGAAAGAAAACATCTTAGGAATTTCACCGCTAAAGGCTCAGAACACACAGCCGATCCTTCAAGTTTTCGGGGGCTGTGCACCAAGACGGAAAAGGGGTACTAGCTGGTTCCAGAGGTCCGCTCACGGCACGGGGCGGAGTCCGCATCCCTTCGCTTTAATCGGGTGGCACAGGCTGGAACTGGAGGCAAAGGGAGAGGGATAACAGGTTTGAAGGCCAGAAACTTCCATTGGAAAGCAAAACACAAAGTTTAAAAGAAAACAAATCGGTGTGAAGGTACGTGAGTAAATCACCAGAAGTAATAAACTGGAAAAGCAACGAAGCGTTAAATCCAAATCAAGACACCGCGACAGCTCAAGAGCACAGGCTGCAAACTGCCCACAGGCGCCAGGGCCTGCAGGCACGCGGAACGCAACCAACCAACTAGAAGCGGACACCCGGAGCTGTTCCCGGGAACCCCTCCCGCCCCTCCCAACTCCGCCCACCCGCCCCGCCCCATCCCGCCGGCTACTCACCGGATTCGCTTCCCACATAACGATGACGAAATCAAGCAGAAAGAGCCTGGGGAAAGAGGCTAGCCGCGGGGCCGGAATATTGGTTTTTTGTGAGCTCCCCAAGCCCGAGAGGACGGAGAGAAACCCTTCACCGAGCCCTTCCTTCTCCCCCTCCCGGTCACAAGCTAGCGTCTTCAGACCACCAAACCACCCGACTTCCGCCCGAAGCCAGCCAATCAGCGCTGACCCCGCCCCGCCCTCGGAACTCGCCCCTCCCCCTCGCTCCTTTCCGGGCTTCCGCCCTCAGCCGTGTAGGCGGGGCTTCCTAACACCTGGGCAGCCGCAGAGTTGAAAGGATTTAAACTTCCAGCCTCGGGACTGTTTACATCGCTGCACCTTACCGAGGGGTTCTCAGCTGCGACTGGTTGTATTTCTTAACGATTGAACCGATATTTATAGTGAGTGCAGTGGGCGGGAGACAGATACCTAGGGAACTACTCTACATGGATCTGTGACATTTGGGACAGGTTTCATTTCATCTCAAAATGAAAATGATAGTATGTGTACCTAAAGGCGTGGTAAGATTATCGAAAGCAACTAGCGTAGTATTTAGCATAATCAATGTTAAATAATTGATTTTTAATGCCCAGACATTGCTGGGGTCCCAAGTGATCACGAAGCCTGCTCTCATGGGCTTTAAAATCTAGAGAAGAAAGCAAGGAGTAAATAAGTGAAATTAAAAGATGCATTGTGAGAGGCATAAGCTGTGCATAAGCGCTAGCCTGGCAAGTACAAGATCCCGAGTTCGATCCCTGCTACAAAAGAATAAAAATGCAATTGCCTCTCGTAGCTAGTACACCAAGTTACCTGAAGTTCCTTAAAAGCCTTCCCAAGATATTTAAAACTGCAGTTACCTGGGTAAAGACGGCAAAGAGGGTGGTACAGTCTTAGAGAAACAAAAGTAGTAGCTGTGCATAGGAAATGAAAATGAAAGCACCTATTGCATAATTCTTGAGAACTTTCGTAATCTCCACACATTTTTTTAAAAAAATGTTCTCAAAGCAGCCGGACATGGTAGTGCATGCTTATAATTGCAGCACTCTGGGAAACTGAGCAGGAGGATCACAAGTGCAAGTCCAGCCCAGGCAAGTTACCAATTTAATGAGAACCTGTCTCAAAATAGAAAACAACTTTAAAATGGGATAGGGAAGTATCTCAGCACAAAAGCTCTGGGTTCCACAGTACCAAAAAAAGAAAAACCTACAGATCTAAAACTTGATTATTTTTATTTCATACGATGTGACTGTCCTTCAACAGTATGGAAATCTGGCACAGTGGCTCACATACGTGGTGTCATTATCTAGGGAGACTGATGCAGAAGCTTCATAAGGGAGTCCTGCCTGGGCAACTTACCTGAGACCACATCTCCAAATTTAAAAAAGGATCCTGGCCTGGTGGTTCACACTTATAATCTTGCCCTCTAGGAAGCAGAAGCAGTATTGCAAATTTGAGCCCAATTTAACACTAAGCAAAACCTGACACAAAATGAAATATTAAAAAAGAGCTGGGGCTGTAGCTCAGTGGTAGTGTCTCTATTATTTTAAAGTACACTATTGGCATTTCATGTTTTGTATGTATACTACATGCACACACATTTGATATAATTGCTATGACAAATTTAAGTGGTCTTCAATTTTATACAATTCCAAAAAGTGCTAAAATAACCCTTTTTACTTTTCTCTCTCAGTGCTGGAGCTTGAACCCACTGAGCTATATATCCAGTCCTTTTTCTTCACATTTTTTGCCAGGGTCTTACTAAATTACTAAATTGCTAGGCTCCAACTTGTGATCCTCCTACCTTAACGTTATTGTTGTACAGATACTGTTTTTATATTTATCCATTAACCTCTTTGGAATTCTTAGAAATGAAATTGTTTGGTAAGAGATTATAGAAATTTTGCCAAATGATTAGCCAGTTGCTTTAATATCATTTATTGAAGAATTCTTTCCATCATTACTTTGGAGTGGCAACAGTGATCGCAAAGCTAAATTTGCATACACACACACAATTAGGTCTGTTTCTGAATATTGTATATTCTATTATCTGCTTATTCCTATACTATTCCACGCTGTCATAACATAAATATTAAAACTATGTGACCTATTTGCTCTTTCATTAAAAAAAATTCCCACTCCTAATTTTCTTCAATTTTTTTCAAAATAGTGAATTCTTATTCAGGAACACATCTCTTCATGCAGTTAGATCATTTTTCTGTTTTGTGCTGAGAACTGAAGCCAGGGCTCGTGCACCCTATCACTGAGCTACACCCCATTTTAGTTGTTGCTGGGACAAACTAGCCAACATCCATGAGTTAAAGGAAAAAAGGATCATTTCAGCTCAGTTTGTGGAGATTTCAGTCCGTAGTCAGCTGGCTCCAAGGCAGAGTGGCCTGGCAGAGGAGAAGCTGTCCATGGCATCGCAGGCCGTGGCAGCAAAGCCTTCCTTCCTTTCTTCATTCCATCTTTCTCTTTATATCTCATCCAGGCTATAAGCCTCTTGATTGGTGCCACCCACATCCAAGGTGGGGCTTGTGTTATTCACATCCAGAACAATGCTAAATTAATTTGGTTATCACACACCTTAATCCAGGCAGCTCCAGAAAGCCCATTTATGAGTGTATGAAGCTTTTGAAGGGGGGCCTGGGGAGATGGCTCAGTGGAATAAGGGCTTCCCTGGCAAGTGCAAGGGCCTGAGTTCAATCCCTGGTTCCACCAATCCCCGGTTCTGCCAAAAAGAAAAAAAAAGCTTTTGAGAAACATCTAAATACAATCCATAACAACTCCAATCCTTAGGTCTTTATATATTTCATGTAAATTTCACAATTCTTGTGACATTTGTTCCTAGATATAGTTTTTTTTTTT